CCCCCCCCGCCACTCTTGTCCTTGGCTCCCTCGGGCCCACACCTCTGCCCTGAGCAATGCAGGGAGCAGGGGTTATTTCTGAACTGGGACTTGGGAGGGGAGGCTTTGGGATGTGAATGTGAAGTCTCTCACAGGGCTGGTCGCCTTCAGCGAGCACAGGAGAGGAAGGAAGTGGAGACATGCAAGATGAGGAGGGCTGTAAATGAGGGAAAAGGTGATATTAGGAAAAGAGAGAAAGCATAGTGCTATGAGAAGGGGCAGTGCGGGAGAAAGGCACTATGAGAAGGCATTTCTCCAAGAGCTCAGCCCTGTGAGCAAATCCAAGAGAGGTCAACATACCTGAATATCCTGAGATGTACTGTGGGCACTGCTAGTCCTTCATGGCTTGATGTCCCAAAAGCCAACTGTCCACTCCCTCTGCCCCCCTCCGCCCCCCAACCCCAGCAGAGCTCCTGGGACACTGTCTTGTCATTTTAGCATGCATGTGGAAGTTGAATTCTCCACAAGAACTGGCCTTGGAGGCAAGAGCTACTCTGAACACCAGTAACAGCTGATTTTTTATGGCTTTTGCATACATTTCATCAAATTTGTCCCTAGAAGTGCTCTGTGCTCTTCTTCTGAGAGAAGTGCAGCCTTCTATAGTCATAAGCAAGCATTAGGCAAATCTCTAAATGTTTGGTAATTTTTTTTGTGGGTGTATGTGTTGGTAACTCCCTATAAAAGTGGCAAATTCTAGACCAAAGTGTGGTCACATCTTTTAAACCCAGCTCTGGCTATAGGAAACAATTTGGTTTTGTAAGCTTGCCCTGTTCTCTTGCCATATTTCTTTCGGGCAGAATAACACAAGCTCTGACATCTCTGGGGCAGCAAACCACAGGCCATTTAAGAAAACTGCAGTGCCTTTTCAAAGTGAACCTTTCTGACAGGAGCTCACTGTCAATAGTCCATTCAGCAGGAGGAAAATAAAGCTCAGTAAAGGAAAAGGGAATAAATAAGTTTCCTTTCCTCTCCTGAATCTATTTATTTCTATGTAAAATAGGAGGAGATTGCCCTTTCCTCTGCCTGGAGCACATTTTCCCTTTGGGAGGATGTGTTAGCTCATAGCTTTGGATAGAAGGACCTCTGGCGTCCCTC